AACAAATTTTCCTCGTAGCTCAAACTTTTTAAGTCATCGATGGAAAAGGATAGAAACCTGGTTGAGACATTTATGACCGATTTTCAGGTTCATTAGTGTCATCGGTTTTGGATTATGATTTATCTTCATGGCAGCATTTGTGTATGATTAGTGTAGAGTTTTTTATGAGGAAATGCTTAGCTAATTAGCAAGGTTGAGCATGTATGAACAAAAAATTCAACATCGTTATGAAAATGATTAAGTATTTTCAGCCTTAAAATTATCCATGAATAAAAACCAATAGGAACTTTTTTCCTTTAATAAGAGTTACGTATGCATCACTGCCGCTAATTTTGGAACCACGTCGTCTGTACGCTACGTGATCCCACGGGACTAACAACCTCTCAATCAAATTTCTCACTGAAAATCGCATTGTCCGTCAAAAATTGATTATGTATACCTACAGATCAATCACTTATTTACATTCTGGCCATAAATCAATTACAAATCCATAGCAATATCTATTTGTAATTCTTGATAAGATGCGAGCGGACATTGATATGTACATTGATCAAATGATGATGGTAAGTTGCTCGACCAAATTTCTATAGTACTTGGCATTTTCTATTAACAAAAAATCTAGCAGGACAACACGATGAAATAAACCATATTTCCACAAATGTTGCAATCCAACTAGAATAACTACGTACTACAAAACCCACAGCCCGACCATCTGCTCGTCCAAAATGCCTACTTCATTCATTTACAGTTCATTCACAAAATTCCACAAAGTCAACTTGACAGCTTTGTTATTGCAGTACAAATAGTATTTTCCGGCGTTGTGTGCAAGAGTATTTTTTGCAGGACTAGAGCAGAAGCCACTGCATAAATCACTTAATCACGTTTGATAAAACAATCTACTCGCTAATTGATGCGAATTTAAAGTGAAATTAATGCGTTTCTTCTAAATAGATGCGTAGATACGTATTTAGTTCGTAGATAAATGCATCCGTCACACAAATATATCTGCTCAACTTATCCAACCACCCTCCCCTCTGAGTGAGTTCAAGGGTCAAAATCCAATTGCTCAGAAAATCAGGTCATATTTTTGAACCTAACGCAAGATCAATCATTCCCAGACCCTTCACCACCACGAGACCAGTACGGGAAGAAAAATAAGTATAATTTCAATCTGCTCCGAATTACATACTCGTATTTTCCATGGGAACGGAAAAAGTGGAACCCTTTCCCATATATCATTTTGGCAGCGTCGTCACTCCCATTATGAGAAAGGGGTAAAATCCTTTATGGTATAACTTATAACCTGAAATTACGATCCCCACAACCGAGTGTATGGAATTGAGCTACAGAAATTCCACCCAGCGCTTAAATTAATGTCATTGAATTTAAATTCCTTTGCATAATTAAGCAGAATAATTGGTACGGTTGGATTGGATAATTTGGCAGAAATAGTTGTGGATTAAAAGAGGGTGTAGATTACATTATAAAATTCTTTAATCACCTTGACAACCAAGCCATCCTCTTAACATTGAGTATACTTACACGTAAAATCTAAATATTTTCAACTCTTCGCCCCACCAAGGTTCAAATCACACCGGAATTTCGAGCATAATCACCCCACCAGCACCCCAAAGTTGGTCCTCTCACCCTCTCGAAATATTTCCCAATCTGTACGTATGCCCACCCGCTGCTCATCCCCTCTCGAAATAACGAGGCTAGACGAAAATATGTAAATACATCAACTTCCGAAATGCATTTTGAGAATAGACAATCAACGAGCCATTGTCACGTTTAAAATCGACCAAACTCACACTCAGCGAGCACAAACGGCCTTCCATTAATCTCATTAAGAATCCAATCCACTTCTTTTGAATGGGAAACTGTTACTATTCATACGTAACCATGGCAACTATAGGAACCAACATTGCTCAAAAATCATAAACCCCCCGTGGATGGAAAGGCCATAAAATGTGACGAGACACACACCACCCGACGTACGCACTGTACCCACAGAAAAATGACGATGAGGACCAAATGGATTTTTGCCCTTGTTATTATTCTCTGAGTCATTTTCACGACGATCCAGAAGCCATTGTCAGCCAGATAAACCACTCTGGCACTCACACTACTCTACCAAAACCGTCCGCAGAGAATATGATTGCATAATTAATGGTGGAGATTCAATTGAGTTGAAGATTGCGAGGGGGAGTTTATATTTAGTTGAGTTATACAGTTAGTGGAAAATCTAGTAAATGTTAAACAGGGGGAGAAGAAAAAATCCCCCACTAATTGTCCCGCATTCCATCCTCTCACGTCTAATTATTGCTCTGGTGACAGTGATTAAATGGAAACGGGCATGGAAAATGTCATCATGACGGAATTTTCTGTTATTATTTGGGGAAAGTGTTGGTATAAATATGCTCCTCCTCGTCAGTAGTAAATGAGCTTGACTAAAGTGACGAGATTTGTTCCGGGTGATTTTCCCAAAAACCAGACCGAATCGATTTTCCCCGCTTATAAACACAGTAAACAGTTAATTTAACAATGCTCTTTTCTTGTTTAGGAGGAACGTTTTAAGTACCACCGCACAGGGCGAATTTTAACGAATATTTATTTTCCGTTTGACAAATTGTCAATAAAGTGAGAAATGAAAAATCTTAAACTATGAACCCCTGCTGGAACTATGTGAAAGGGACCCTTCTTCTTGAAGGAATAAAGAAAATCTCTCAATCTCATCTTGAGACCTTGCTTTGTAAAATGTAACAATGGGGATTTCTACCCTTAGGAGACGGAGAAACGACACTTCTTGCCTAACAATTTTAGTCCCTCGCATTCATTTCAACCCAGTGAAAAGTTCTACTTATAACAAGGCGTGAGGAACGAATGAATGAGTCATTCCGGCGAGATCAACACTTTACTTTTGACAAGAGGGATGACAATTGACTTAAATAAGCAGGAGCAGCAGCACATCTGCCACTGAGGAGCTGTGAATACGTGCTCTTCAAAATCTCTACCCTGGCTGGACATTAATTGTGCATGTTGCTTTATCTCCGTCCTCTTGTGCAACCCGTGATTGACCAATTGTTGGCATTTCTTTTCCGAAATTCTCTGCCATTCGAGATTTACGATGCAGTTCCTTCCTGGCTTTTCTCCATTTCCGATAAACGGTGCGGCACGCGCTTTTGCTCCATCATCAGCAATGCCCCCAATGCATGCATCCCCTCGATCTCGGGATTGCGTTGCCTTGCCTCGAGAGATAAAGTGACAAATACTCGAGAAAAGTGATACAATTGAGAATGAGTAACTCTTGGTGGGTTGGGATTTGAGATAATAATGGGAATATAAGTAAAGTGTGAGAGGGTGAGGGTTAGTGGGATGGAAATTTGTATGGCTCCTTACTTCATAGCATATTTATCCGTACATATCTACCACACCCCCTGAAAAGGCAGGAAAAAAATATCGCAAAAAATAATGACAACCACGACGACGACGAAAACTGTTTCCATTTCCAGCCAAATTCTGCTCAAAACGAGGAGCACATTCCTCACTCTGCGGGGATTCTAAAAAACTGACGGACTTTTTAAACTCTGTACATTTCTGATTAATGGAAGAGCTGAAGGAGCCTGGTTTTCTTGGAGGTATACACAATTTTGTGGAGGATTTTGTAATATAATTTTGACATGAATTTTAATACTGTGGATTTTCTCTTATTAGAAACTTTCTCCGTATTTACTAATCCCCAACTTTTCCCGATAAATCACACGCTTCTGACAAGGTTTATAAAACTTGAGAGTCTAAAAAACTCATAAATTTAAGACACCCCAAAATTTGTTAGGCAATGTATTCATGGCGGATTAAAGGTATCGTACAAGTCATTTCAGGTATCTGTTCATTCTTCTCTCGACATACGCAGCAGTAACGTTCCTATTCCAACAAGACATCATTATTGCCTCCAATTTCGAATTTTTTATCCCAAAAACGTAACCACCCACTCACCCCGGCAAACAACCCAATTAGCAACAACTCACTCAACTGGCGACTCTCCCATCTGTCAGTTTTAAAAAAAGAGTGTAATAAAGAGTCACGCATCACCATAACAAGGCAATGATAATAATAATCATCATCATCCCCCATATGAAAAGGAATACAAAGTCATGTCTCTTTTTTTCTTTTTGTTAAGTACACAAAATATTATTCATCCAAGTCCAGGTGATGAATTGTAATTATGACAAATTCCAACATTTCCTCGACTACCGGATAACACAAACTTCAAGTCGCTGCCATTAGTTGGACACATCTTTTCTTTACTACACACTTACTACGGAGTCAAACTGTCAGTCGCCGCGGAACGGTGGGAACATGGGGATGATAATTTCCAGCCCCTTAAAACCAGGACCTCCTATCCACTCCATGTCAAAAAGCCCTTCCCACGTACCAAATTAAAGCCCCAACTGCCCCCACAGCTTCCGCGGCCCTTGCATCCGTGCATTTTTTGCCACTATCTCCAAACCCAACGAGGCGTCCCGGTCGGACACAAATATTCCCTTTGAACAGCAAACGTCTCAACTTTGTTACGTACCATTTGTAACTTCTCAGCAACAACATCTTAATAAAATTCTCATTCGTATTCTCTCCAACTGCTTCTTCCAAGTCACATTATTTCACGTTTTCTCCTCACTTCCTTAACCATGGGGGGTTATCTCGCATTGTTAATGGTTGGATTGCTCACCCAACTAAAAATAAATATACTACTCCTTAAATCTCCATAGGAAAATATGAAGGAGAAGATCAACTAATAAATTTGTCTGGACTAATGCATGCTCTTCTCTGACCAAAATGTGGCATGTATCGTAATTGAAATGTTACCATGGAGATTGAAAGATATGCAATGGTAGTAAACCTCCAAGAGAGGAAAAAAGGAACGAGTCAAGTCCACCCAGACGGACCCTTTCCTCATTTATAACTTTTGACAAGTTTATTTAACTTGTTTCACCCTTCGAAGACCTACAAAAAAGTAACCAGAGGAGAAACACGCCCTTTGTATCGTTAAAAATTTTGTGTTTATTTTTCTTATTGTGTTTCGTGTGTGTGTGTTTAGCGAGCATCTGCCGTGGAGTGGAGTGGGTAAGCAGATATCGAAATTAATCGAATTATATGGAGGTATGCACATGTATGTGCATACGGGAAAGGTGTACGAGGTGATTGAGGGGAGATGATTAATCACGAGGTGGAGAGAACAACAACAGTTGTAGCAATTATTATAATTGATTTATGTTGTTTGTTAAACAAAGTTTGTTTAATGGAAATATTTCGGTGGGTGGTGTTAAAAAACGATTAATTTTATAGGAATTTTCACAAGTGAACGTCAAGCTTTCAACTCTTTCTTTATGTAAAACTTTTGCTGGAGAGATAACGAATTGAAATGCATAAGAACCGCAAACGGAGGTTTGAACTAAATCCAGTAGGATTATCACTCTCTCGTCGGGAAGAGTGAAAAAGTAAAGAAAATGTTTTTCTATGATTTTTCACACAAGTTTTAAAGCAAATTTTTAATGGATGACAAATGACAAACTTTAAAAATTATATGTAGCAATGCAATATCAACTTATTAACTAATTAAAATTTTGAGAATATTTATGAAATCTCACCCAAAATCCGTTTAACTTCGTCTCCATTCATCCAAAAATTGAAATTTCCTTGGGCACTTACAACCACCAGCACAAGGAGGAACACAATTGGCAGAAATTTCTCCATTTCTTCAAAAGTTTAAAACGTTTCAGGGTTTTTACATGATTTTTGTAACAACACTTCACTCTGAAAATGTGCAGGAGCGTCTTTGTTGTGTTGCTTTGAGAGAGGTTTGTCTGAGACTGGGTGCTCGTGATGGGAAAGGCGAGGGTTTAACGAGAGAGAAGTGGAGGGTGAATTCTGGCATGAGATGTTGATGATGGGATGTGTTGAAGCTCGAAAAGTGGCTGATGTAGCCGGAAGGTTTGTGTCTATCGGGCCAAGAGATCAGTTCAGTGGGTGGAATCAGGCTCGGGCTGTTGAACTTGAATCGTGCAGATTATGAACTTTTTGTTCCTTGAAATGGTACCACAACCACAAGATTTTTTGTTGGTTTTGAATTCTGTAAGTTGAATTGTCTTATTACATTCTTGCATTGTCTGCTTAATTGGATAGAGACGTGATGTAATTTTTGGCCAAGTTAGAGATACTGAAAGTGGAAATTGTAAATCTCCAAATACCCCAAAGAAAATAAACCATTAGGAAACGATTCGGTCTAGAATGTCTCTCCCTCCAGTAACCGGACACTCTTCCTTGTCACCCGTAAACCATCAAATTGTCATCATCCTCCTCCTTCCCTTCCTTGTCCCGGAACTTTGTTTCTCTTTGAGAGCACATGTCCTACTACTGCAAACCCAAGTAGCTGACCCATGCACCAGTCTCAAAAAAGTACTCCATCAATTTTAGAAAACTTCATCTGGATGCTCTATGCAAACGCTGATGACACATTGGGAAGGGTTTTGAGTAAAGTATGACTCAAATTTAGATTCAAGTAAATATGTGTAGAAGGTGATGTTTCATAACTTTTGTGGGTGTGGTAAATAATTGATTGGTTAGTTTTAGTGAACAATCGTTTGCATAATATCTAATTATAGGAAATTATATGAATTTAAGTAGAAATTAAAATTATCAATCGTTTTTGCAAATCAAATTTTAATGTGGAATTGTTGATATTGATTGAGTTTTGGAGTGTACAAGCATATCATTATTTTTAAACAATGATAGACAATTAAATTCAAATTTATGGCATCATCTTCCAATTGAATCACACAGCCAGAATACAAAAAATACTTATTCGTAAATATCTATGTACATGTAACCTTGGAAAGGATTAAAAGTTTATTTAAAAATCTTGTAGATTCACAATGTTAACATTTTACACCACTTTAAAAATCAATCTCAATCCGTCACTAAAACAAGAGTCTTCTAATTCTTGGAGAAAAATATTTTGTTGCATTGTCTCAACATGAAAAAACTGCACTTCTTTTAATCAAAATCGTACCCTAAAACCGAAATAAAACCCCCACCACTCGGAAATGTACCATCAGGAGACGGCCCCTCTCTCACTTATTTAGCTCCCTCTGCAAAACCCATTAACCTTTTTCCACCATTAACCTATCCAGTATCACGAGAATAAATCCACACGCACACATTTATCCAGCTGCCATCAATTAATCACTCTCGGAAAGTGTTTATTTATTTTTATTCGCAAAATTCGAATTCACGGAAATTCTCCAACTTGACAAACAAATTGTTCCTCTCGTGGCACATTTTTTCCTCAAAAAGTCGTAAATGCCTGCGACGGTTGTTTTCCTCGTAATTCTCTCGGATGCTGCGTGTGTGTGGAATGTTATTTTTGTGAAGCCCACGAGAATTCCTTCTCCCATGGAAAAATGTGCACAGATTTAAAAAATAATTTTACATCGTAACTTGTACTTTTTTCTCAAGAGAGTAAATAAAGGTCACAGAACGTAAATAATATTTGAGACATTTATGACCGATTTTCAGCCTCATTACTGTCATCAGTTTAGGATTATGATTTATCGTCATATTTATGAGGAGGAAAGGAAGGAAATTGTTATCAGGGAATGTTTAGCTAATTAGCAAGATATCGAGAAATGATTATCGGTTAGGGAATGATTAATTGTTTTTAGTTGATAAATATCTTCATGAAAAAAAACGACCGATTAATTTAGTTTTATCGATTTTATTAATAAAATCTTTGTCCCCGATTTTCCTGTCCTTCACTGAAACAAATTAAATACCTGCAAAAGTAATAAGCTCTCAATCACGACTCTCTGTTTAACGCAACAAATTCCAATTTCATTGTCCATCAAAAATCTGACACTGTCCGACAGATCAATCTTTGTGAAATTCAATCCCCTAAATATTTGCTTTAGCTGGGATGAATCAATCTCAATAATCTCCATTCTTTCTTTCTTGTCATGGTTGTCATGCCAACAAAACGGATTGTCCGAAGGTATTTTTATCTTAGTATTCAATTATCATGAGGGGGAGTCGGTGGTTTGCTGTTGTGGTAATTTTACTGTGGGGGCGTATTGTTTGGGTAAATTATATTACAATATTTTGTATAAAACTTGATTAAAGTTTGACTTTGAAAATTAATCCTAAGGTAACTGCTCAACAAACACCTCCACCGATAACAAATTGTAACCATCCCGAGATTGTGGCACACAACGACAAATTTTCACATTCGTATTGTTTCCATACGTGCGGCTTCTTGGAAGCGATGACGGTGACGAATACGACGCCATTGTTGAACTTTCTCAGCAACGGGCAACCCTTTGGGGATGCAGCGGAGGGGTATTGTGCGCCAGGGGGACATTGCGTCTGCCAAGCGGCCTGTCCTCTGAGCGTGAGTTTAATTATTTCAGCATTTAATTATACAAGAAATTAATTTTATTTAAGAATTACAGGTCCCCCGGCAAGAAACGACGCCAGACAGGATTCTTTGTCCTATTGACCCCACTTCGCTGAACCCGATCCCTTCTCCAACCACCATAACTAATTGCGTGTCCACCTGCGCCACTCAATGTGTTGGGGGTCAGCCCCGAGTTTGCAGGGAAGTCGAACTTCTAGGAAATAATCGAGACACAAATTCTGAAATTTGTACCTGCGTTTGCCCCCCAAACATATTTTCGTCATGTTTTGACTTGAGCGCAGTTCGATCTTTGTTGGGAGGGTTGGTTGGATTAAAATTGCTAAAATTAAAATTGTTGCCATGGTTTCACGTGGGGAAGAAATTGTTAAAGTATTACTTTATCTTGTTTAAGTTTAAGTTTATTGTTTACTATGTTTTAAAGTGTTTTATAATTTTTTTGGGGTTGACTTTGGGTGTTTTGAAATTTGGTGGGGATTTTGTTGAGAGAGAAATGTGGGGGTGGGTGGGGGACGAGGGTTACTTAAAATAATCACCCGACAACTCGTGTTGCGGTGACACCGAGAACGATGGTTGTCAGGGCAACGACCCAGATTCTTTCGGCAGCCTTAAAACCACTCCCACCACCTGTCCCGCTGTCACATTTGTTCAGATTTCCGTCGGGACATTGACAGGTTTTCTCTTTCTGTGAAATTTACAAAAAAATGCGTGTTAAATATTAAGATAATTTCGAAATAAATCATGCGTGTTGGACCTTTACCTGCAAGTAGCTCGTGTGTTCACCACAATAAGCGCCACCATGGACTACACGGCATTCAGCGTCCGACTATAAAATTGTGATGACAGTTAAATCAATAAAATTCAATTATTTCTCAGAAATATGTGTTAATCTCACCTCACAAAAATCTCCCAACCTTCTGGAGTACACGCAACGCCCGGCATGATAACCGACCTCATTCTTCCCGTTCGTCAGGGTATCTGCGAAAAAGCAGTTTTAATTGAGTTGCAAAAACTTATGAATTGAACTAGATAGCGAATTTTGGTTTAAATTACCGTAGCATTCACAAAACAAATTGGCCATATTACACCTCGTCAGGTTGCCTAAGTTACTCGCATAACATTCCGCATTGTTTTGGCAGGATGGGTATTCCATGATGGAGGAGGATTTCTTCAAAGTGTAACAAACGTTGTATTTCAGCTCGGTTGTTGCACCTTCTGCGAAACATTCGCATTTGCCTTGTTCCAAAGAGCATCTAAAGTAGTATAGTAAAATTAATATCTATTATGGAAACAGCGAGTTCACGTCTTTAGCAAAAAACAAAAACAAATTCGCAAGTTTGCAAAAAATTTTGCTTGGCAAATTCATTTGTGCATCTCTAAAATTAATTTGGTCAGCAAAATTTGTGAATATGCAAATCCGTAATGAAAACCCACAGTGTTTTAATGCATTGTTTTAATGCTCACCTGGACCACTTTCCATACGAACTGACGTAACACTGATAATCCGTCGTGCATCGGAAATCATCCTCTTCATACGGGACTAAGAAACAGCTCCGCATTCCTAAAATTATTCAATGATTAAATTAAAAATTTTGACATTAATTAAATATTTTTGTCTTTAAAAATAGAAATCACTTTACCTGGATCATACATCGTCTTTTTATCCGAAGCAGCACATTCACACTTTCCCGTCGACGAGCAAACCAAAGACTTGGTTTCACGGTCACAATTCACCAGTTTTGAACCTTCTGGAACTGTCCCGTTCACACAAGGTTTTCCATACGGATCAGATTGTTTTAATTCAGTGGATCTCCAGGCGGTCGTTGTGGCGATGATGGAGAAAGTTACGGCCATAAAGAGAAAAAAGTATTGGGAGGACATTTTGTATTTTATTTTATTAAAAAATGATATAAAACTTGAGACGCGAAAATATTATGCTACGTTGAACAAGGTGTGGTTTTGGCAGTGAAGAAAGAATCAGAATGAATGCAACATAGCCGGATGAATGCAGTCATGAAATACATAATGTTTGCATATCGGGCGAGATAAGGTGTTATCTTTCGTTGGTGAGTGTTTGTAGGGTAGATAAATTGAGTAGTGATGGAGTCTGTCGGGATGAAAGAAGTGCAAAAGTGCAGTGTAAATAAGCATGTATCTACGTGAGTAATTTATTCCGTGAAGTTGTGTCATGCAAAAAATAGATGAGCTCATTAGACAGGATATTATGTGTATGTATCTATCGATGAACAAACATGGCAATTCGGAAATCTTTTAAAATGGAAAATTACCATAAATTAATAATCCACAACTTCTCTGCGGAAACACGAAACTGAAACAAAAGATATAATCGTCTCCTGTCATATTCTACACCATTAATCTTCCTCTGGCTGCATGGAAATTCTGGAAAGAGTGTCAAATTCCGTGGCAAGTCTCTTTGTTGAGGTTTAGAGAGAGTAAATTAGTAAGCAGTGTAACAGCATGGGTATGAAACGCGATAAATTTGGATGTATTCTTCATCACTAAATATGTATCATGGCAACGGGTTTTGCGATTTAGTCGATTTATTTGCTCATGTTTATGAATACATAGCTCACATTTCCTGGTTTTCATCGGTTTGTTAAATTCACACTACAAAAAATAGTCTTGAATTGCAGAATTTTTTTCACGGTCAATTTATATCGTCACATTTCACATATTTATAGTTTTTTTGCCCCATTTTATATAAAGTGATTCATGTGTGAATCCGAATAAAACTGCAACTTGACACCAACACTTCATTGAGCACGATGTTCCGGAAGTAGGATCATGAATGCGTATAAGTCAGTGGTACATAGATAAATATGTGAGCATCTGACACGTGGCTAAATATCCATACGCACAGCTTCCTCTATTCTTCCGTAAATCTCCTGGTCATATTGTCATGTTAATGAGGACATCATTTCTCATGTTGATGTTGTCTTGTCATGGAAATTTCAGAAAAATCTGTAAAAACATTAAAAATTCTTGGCTGCACCGACACCCAATATTATTATTCCCTCTGGACCCTGTGCTACTTCCTGTCTCCACTAACTTCACTGCTGATTACTTAATGAGCTGAAAAAGTATCCAATTTCCCACGGAAGCTAAAAACCAGCTAAACTCACAATTAAAATAACTAAAACCTGATGACAAGAAAAATGTTGGGAATATTTCTTGTCCCAACCCTGGCCGATAATACCCGGGTATTGCATTCCTGTTGCACTCCTGGCAGACACAAAACTTGACGCACACTCACAATTTTCTTCAGTCGTGGAAAGACAGTGGACGAGCAGGGACCAACTCGTCATTGGGAAAAGTGGAGGGGATTGTTTTGTGTGCGTGTCTCAATTTTCCCAAAGGGTAGGAATTATTATGGGTGTGGTGACGTAAATTTGTTGGGTGTAGCGTGTCAAAAATTATGGGAAATTGGTCTCCTCGCTGTGTATGAAATTATCCAGAATTTAGTGCCCGCATAGTTTTTCCGTTAAAGTGCAGTTAAGTCGTTAATCGACAAAATGTGAAAAGTTTTGCTGCCCACGAATCCACTGGTCAGTCGTTTGTGCGTGGATTTGAGTGAAAGGGTAAAAAAGTTTGAAGTGCTTTTTCTCGGATTTTCACAAAAAGTTGGGCAATTTTGGACTTGCTAGAGACTTGTGTAATCGTCTCAAATTAAATAATCCCAAACTGCCAATCAATTCATTTACGCACTTGAAGAAATAAAATTTACTTGGTCGCAATTTGTGGCAAAATGTTTGAAGTAAATTATTTTGTAAAGCTAATGTTAGCTTTGGTAACGGCGTCGGTCGTTAGCGGGAACTACAATTTATACGTCGACAAAGAAGAATTTCATAGGATCACGGGAGGTGAGATTTACTAATTTGAGTTTTGTCATTTTTATTAATTTAGAATAAATCCACTCCAAAAAATCTACCACTTTTTGTAACGCACACCGAATCTAAATTCCACTTTTTTTAATCCGCATGACACATTCTCACTGGTGATAAATTTTCTCCACACCGAAAACTTGGATAAAGTTGAGAAACTTTTCGGCATATTAATCACCGTGGTTGGTTGGTGACTGTTCCATCACGCGACTTTCTAGGCCCGGAGGAAGGGAAAGTCAAGCAGTGAACGAAAACTAAACATTTTGAGTGAACCTTTCCTATGGAGATTAATGCATTTTTGTCACCCCTTTTTTAAAAAAAGAAGAGAAATTTTTGAAATCTAAATTTTGGAAAGGTGAAAACAGTTGTGGAATCCTATTTCTCTGCTCGAAACTCTTTAAAAATGAGCTCAATTCGCAACGGGAACATAATGAAATTATATTCCACGTTGACATTATGACGAGAGATGATGATACCACTTTTTTATGCCGTGTAATTTGTCCGTGACGACGTTCCGTGGTGTGTTGCCTCCTGGGGATTCTCTCCTGCGGACTCTTTTCCATTACCCACCATGCACCACCTCGTACGACGCGAATGGTGAGGACATAATCCCGGACAATGCCCAATTTCACTTTCTCTCCATGTTTCCTGACATTGTGAATGTTGATGTCATCGTCATCTCAGCCAAAAATGGTGATCTCCCACAAACAGAGTTTTCGTTTCATAAAATGCATTCGAATAATGGTCTCATTACATTTCGTGATCCTTGAGAAAAGGCAAATAAGGAGAAAGCCACATACTGCGACTGGATATGTACTTTGCTTGTCTCATAAACTGGCTTGGTCTGAAATTAGCGTATTCATGTTGTGTAACTACAAATAGTTCGATGATCTAAAATTCTAGGACCACCCCAAAAAAACCTGCTAAATTGCTTGTAAATTATTCAAAAAATTGATCGCGTATCTTCGTTGATTTGAAAATTGATGGGTAAAAAATAAGCCTACAATTTTAAAAATGTCAAACTCTGTGTAGACAGCTGACACCGCCCAATTCACAAATGCCATCAATAATTTACATATTATTTATCCCAAAATTTTCTAAACTTTCTCCACGTAACTTTCGCCATGAAAAATCCAACAACAAGAAGCATATAATAATGGAGGCCCATGAGTCATGTTGAATTTGCAAAATGTCACTGGCGGAATTTTCTGTGGAAATGTCAGAGCGACGGGGACGAAGATGTTATTTTGAGTATGTTGGCATTTCCTTTATCATAATGAGATTGAGTGGAGAGCGCGCAGAGTGCATAGCAATTTGTCACGTGTCATTTAGTTTTTTCTTGGGGAAAGTGTGTAGGCTGGATTTCTGGGGAACTTTGGGATGATGCGATGGGTGGATTTTTTGTGGACGTAATAATGTTGTCGCTCTTGCTGTGCGTCTGGAGGAAGTCGATGGTCAGTGCAGTGACACTTCGGTGCGTGGAGAGAAAGTTTATGTTACGTTGCTATGGAAATGGCCGTGCTCTGGTCAGGAAATTGTCACATGAGAATTTACTAGATTTTGTGCAACAGAGATTTCAAGAGTCAGCAGAAACGGAAGCCAGTATGACATAAAAAATCAGTCATGTTAGTTTTGATTTAAATTTCAGAATTTTGTGTAAACTTCTAAAAAAATAAAGAAATAGGTATGTGTTCTCGCATTCAATTTGTCCCAAATTTGTCGCCCGCTATAAATCTCCTCTTTTAATTTCCTGTTTTTTTTACTGCTGAAACTTTACTACAACCATTAAACATGAAACAGGTTTTCATTTGTCAGCGAAAGATCTAGTTCTGATTTATGACTTTCACTAAGGTCACGCCCAAAGTTTACGTATTTACGCACAAAATCTCAATGTTTTACTAAATTTTCCTCAATCCAAACTAATAAATTGCAAAAATTCTATCCAGACAAAAAAAACAAGTAATTAATTCAAATCACAAAATCCCACGAATTAGAAAATGTCGCTTGACAACTTTCACTTTCCGAACATTTGTTATTTCTGTCCAACCAGACAAAAGCACAACCGCCATCAACTTTCTTTACCAAAACGACCACATAATTAATAATAAACAGAGTCCAAAAACGGAGACAGAAGTTTCGACAACTGAGCCGCGACAGCCATAATCCAACCGCACAATGCGAAATGACGGCGAAATGAGCTCATAAAGAGAAGAAGGAAACGTCTTTGTCACTGTTTTCGGTCTGGGTGGCTGTTGTTAAGGAGGCAATTAATTCACCACAGGGGTTCTTCGCAGGGTATCTCATTTTGTGATTAAAAGTGCGAAATAAATAAGTGTGGTTGGTTTCCGGGGTGAGATTTATGGTCTTATTTGTGTTAAAAGTGACAGTAATTTTAGCACAATTGCTGGAGCATTACTAAAATATTAAGAAGCATAGTTAGTCAATATAGTATATAAAGTGCAGGTTTAACACAAAGAGGCCAATTAAAATTATTTAAATTTACAGGGACGTTGTCTCAAGTTTACCTCGTTCGAGACGGTGTCGTGAACGACTACGCACTCGGTTACGTAATGACGGTGCCGTATCACATTCAATATTTGGACTTCAAATGGCAAGCGACGACTAAGAAACCGGTGAGAAAGTTATTTAATAAGTTTTAAATTTTCTTTGAAATATCCACTCGATTGCACTTGAGACGGGTCCCACGTGACTTGCATGGCAGATGATCCAGCTCCCTACATACGCGCTGTATTTTTATATCAAAATTCAATTTCTCCCCTTCCCTCCCCCTGAAATAATAAGTACGTCATCTGGTAAGATTCCCATGAAAGCATCGCTATGGGAATATTCCTCTCTTCTGGTGTGCGAGATATGATCCGTGACTCACCCACGACGACGCGATGACAATGATGACGGTGCGGGCTTAATTGGTTTTAAATCCAATTCAGAATGATCTGCGATATTCGTATTCACGGGAGAATAGGTTTCCTTAACGAGGACGGGGAGGACGGAGAACGGGGGATTATTATCTCATGAAAAGTGATGGAATTTCCACTGTGACTCGGAATAATGATCTCGATTATGACAATGACGTTGCTGCAACCTCGGATTAAAGTTTGCATTTAATTGTCATGTTTTCAGGTCCACTACGAAATTCTGATTGAATTCTCAGACTTTTTCGCACTGCTTCAACCATCCGCCAATATTTCTAAAGTGGGAAGGCTGCCACACAAATTGGAAACGTTACGGTGAGTCGAAAATTAGATGCTATTGTTTTTTTTAATTAGTAGACCTTGTTATTTTATCACATTTTTGAAATTTATTTGCCTAATTTATGAGATAAATTAAAGCAATTGACTTTGGGTATGTCATAAATAGTTTTCAATGGGAGTTAACTATTTGGATCAGATAGATAATTACTACCAGGAGAGTTTTAATTTGGATTATTTTCAGTTACATATTTACACCTCTGCCATTACACACCACAATTAAACATACTCTTTAGTTCTTTGTTCACATGCATGCACGTATGAGTATATAAATTTGCGTCCACGACAAATCCGAGATTTTGTACGAAACTTTGAGTCTGCAATTTCTTTGTGAACACATGACTACAAATTTAGCTACCCACTCACCCAAATTAACACTTCCGAAGCCACCGAAAAATTATAAACTGCCTCAAAACCTTTTCCACCAAAACAAACTTTCCTGCTAAACTTGTACAAGAAAAACTCGATTAAACCGCATGTCTGTTATGGTAACCACGCCATCACCTTTCGGCAAACTTGTCACCCATTTCTCTCTCCTCGCACTTAATTCTCGACAAATTCTTGCATTAAACTGACGACTTTTACTTTCAGCAAAAATAAATTTCATTATTTTCCTCTCTCTCTCAATCTGCAGAGCAAAACGAGACGTCAAACTAAAATTCGCTTCAGACAAGAAAATGAACAGATTTCCAGTTAAATCACGAGCACTTTCTTCTCGCTCTGCGTTCCACCCATTTCCTGCTTTCTCTGCTTTCACTGTTTTTTTAATTCCGTAGACGACGAAACGAAAGCATTAACTGACTGAGCAGAATTAACTTGTAAACGCTACTTTCCAAGGAAATAGAAAAATCAAAGTACCGGAAACGATGGAAAAGAGAAAGCCTCATTTTTCTACGGAAAAATATATTTCCGGCGTTTAAATAATGTAAACATTTCCCGAATCTAAGCATTTCAACCCATTAAATTCCTCTCATTAGGGATTCTGCTCATTAATTTTGGACGTTCATACTTTAAGTAACGCAAAAACAAGCGTTGCAAAGTTAATTCACACACCACATCGCTCACATTTGTTTGTTCGGAGAATACGCTCGCTGCGTTCTGAGATTAAACGGGAACGAAGATGAAAGGGAGATGAGGAGTGAAAGTCAGTTTGTTGGCCTCGTTTAAAGAGAGACGGGCAGAAACTGGATGAGAAGGACAGCGTTCGGAGTGGGGGCAATATTTTAGAGGAAAAAGACCACGACGAGCGAACATCAAAGTTTAAAAGCACTTTCACTTCTATTTGATTTGACAGTGGTTCTTTGTGGTGGACTTTGTGGAGGATGGTTTTCGAGGGATGGGCACATATTTTAATATTATTTTGAACTTTAGCTGAAAATTGTAGTTATTAATTAAATATGTCGTAGGCTAACCTTGCGTGTTTAAATTTTACAAGATTTGTGTATGCACCATTCATTCGTTCACTACTTTCTCCGACCATTGAAGTGAATTTAATTTCTAGAAAGCCACACACACATCTCAAAGTGTTTGATGTGGTCGTTTTGTTTGAAATTGTCAAACGATACTGTCCAAGTTTTAATTATACATCTGTCCAAATGTTATTTTACATGCTGGAAGTTGTTGGACGACGACCTATAATGTTGCCAATTTTCTGAACGTGTTTCTTGAAAATTTCGCAGGGTTTCCCTTCCCTGCAGTGGCCGATTGACGACCGAGGTTCCTGTGATAATCCGATTCACCTTCAACGTGAAACATGCAACGAAAAACAACGTCCACGGTCACAACGTCACAAATGTGAACGTGAAGAGGAACAAGATTTGTCTGCTTAAAGGTCAGTGTCATTCCTTAAGCAATTAAACTAATTATTCAGTTACAAAAAAAAAATTGCCTTTCAGAAAACCACCAACTGACATCATCCGTCGTCGCCATGACACCGAAGGAAAAGCGCACAAATGTCATCCCTCCGCTGCACGACAACGTCAGCAACAATACTCACTTATCGCACCCGATAACCCCGCTGGACCATCCACACGTTCCATCGGCGACACCATCGCTGCTTTTGGCTGGTCTGCTTGGTGGCTGCGCCGTCACTGCATCAATCGCTTCAGTCGTGTTCTTCATCTGTTTGAAGAAAAGGTTGCAAAAAATTGACCAACGAAACAACAATTCCACTGATTTCGCAACTGAGAAATATTACCATCCGTCAAACTCCACGACGACGAGCTCCTCCAGCCCAGCGTGTCTCTTGAGAAATACGAAAACCTGGGTCAAAGACCAGTCACCTCCGTCACACCCACCGCCACCCCTTCCGAACTCATACGCAAACATTGCCAGTTTCTGGAACGATATTTTGTCAGCGCCAGAAAACAAGTCAAACGCGAGATTAAATTCGTCGCTGGTGTCGTCGCAGGAGAGTCCGCTGCACAAACGGTCCGACGTCTCTCCGTACGCTTATGCACAAATTATCCAGCCCAACACTAAAAACAATGAGTGGTGGGTTTCACTTACATAATTTCCGGAATTTATTTTTCATCAACTTTGTCTTTAAATTTGCTTGTAAAAAATATATTTTTTGATGGTTTTAGGTGGAACACCTCGAATAATTCACACATTTACGCGAACCACTTGTCATCATTTGCAGGACAATCAAATAAATTAAGTGGCGAAGAAGTGTACGATTCGCATTACGCTGGCCGATCCGTCGGTTCTGGAAGTTTGATTCAAATTGATGGATTTCAATGCCCGAAGAACTTTACGAAAGAGAAACACGTGGAGGAGAGATTTCTGTAATCCGATTGGACCATTTTTAAACTAGGAGTGTTTTTATACATCTCAAAATTTTATATTACACCATTTTACGAAATTAAACTTGTTAATCGCATTTTTTAGGTAATGAATGAAAATAAAACAGGTCGTCGATGTTTGTATGAATAAATACGTGAAAAGAATTTCATATTGATTTTGGTACAGCTACTCGGACCCAGGATTCAGCTTAGCTACATGCATGGTGTCTTATTCCTGAACACATACATACGAAATTGAAATTTATTGTCATTTCTGCAGTCACTTTATTTACAAAAGTGACATCATACCAACAACAAGAAAGGACTTTGGCTGGCTTTGCCAACACGCACAATACACGGAAAGTGATCCCTTGGGAACCACGTGTTCCGCTTTCTTATTCTTGCTGGCCAAAATTGCATCACAAATCTTGTAGGAAAAATACAGGGCTACAGAGAAATGGAGTCAGGAGAGTAATAAACTGGTTGATAAATTAAATCCTGTTTTCTAGTTTCCCACTAAAATTCATGAGCTTTTTGCAATAGTTAAAATTCATGTGACTACGCTATTAAATAAATAATTTAGCAAGTTGAGTAATAAATGTCATATTTTTGGCAAAGAATTTCGTGGACAGTGTGCGAAAATGGAACATAAATTTTCAGTCTTTGTCGCCCATCTTCAAGTTCATTTGGATTAATAAATAAAGTTGTAATACGAGAGTTTGGCCGAGGAAAGATTGCATGTCTAGAATGAATCACCATTAACTAGCTTTTTATACGGTTGACGGTGGACGGTGGAGATTTCTCTTGTTTTGCTGGGCAGGAGAAATAGGCTTCTCACGGGTAACTTCAAACTTAAGACTCCAATGCCAAAGGACGTTCGTTTATAGAGAAATTGATGATAATTCTCAATTTAAAACTATGCATAACAACTAAAATTTCGTAATTAAATAAATTGTATGTAAGTATTATTTTTTTATTACAAACGTCATCAAAATTTTCTTCCATCCGTTGTAACTTGCGTAAAGAATGAAATGAGCTATAGTTTGCTTAGGCAAATTTCCATTAGCATGTTCCCACTGGATTCATGTCATGACAAACCCACATCCATCTACAATTCAATGTTAATGATTATTACGAGTGTGAGTCGATTACTTTCTCTCCGTTTTCTTCTCCCATGTTCCAATCTATATGCTCATACACAATGAGACGTGGTCAGTTTCTGTGAATTATCGTGCCAGGTTTGGTTGGTGTACTTTTGATAACAAATGCTGGTCGGTTGGGAAAATTGCATTGCTTGAATAAATCTATTAATAGAACAATGAACGATTATTTAAATGGCACCTGAATCTTAATTCACACTGCAATCGAATGCATTTCTATTTCTAAAATATGATTTACGTTTCCCAGATTAAATCGATCACAGGCTGAATGCATCATTCAATCCTATATAATTGAAATTACTGATGGAAATCCAAAACTTCAAAGTTCAGGTGTGGTTAAATCATTGATAGGTGAAATAGGAAGCGCAATGACATCGTTAATTATAAACGTTGATCAAACATGTCGAATTTTCATCAATCGGGATGGCAGGACAGACGAATGTGGAAAAGGCGGAATAACTACATTTTTCGATCTGCATACCTAGTTTCAATTTCGAGGAACTTAATTGTTTAAAATCTGGCATAATGTTGAATATTCGTTAACGGTTACTACGCAATATTTTTGAAAAAGATGAGTAACCTGAATAAGTTGAAGTCAGGTTAGTCGATTGTTTGTGTAGTGGATGACCTTTTATGAAGAGACTTAAGTATATGTAGAAATCATATCTGTGGAATGTATCACACATGTAGAAACACTTATCAAATAATTTTAAAAGTTACTTATTTAGTCCTCCGAATATTCAATTTTAGAAAATATGTAAAATCACCATTGAGAATCTCTCTTCGTCTTCCATCCAACTAATGATTTTCACTTCACTTTTCTGATAAGCCACAGTTCACGCTCTAGGTTTTAACGTAAAATATGCAAAAAATTCATCTCTGTCGCATATCCAAATGCTTCTCATTCTTTCCGAATCCAAATCCCATTCTATTTCGCTCGTCCCAGTCGTCCCATCACTCTCTCCCAAATCTTGACCACATTTCATTTTTTCCCATTCACAAAAAGAGATCCATCCATTTCGGCAACGAATTTGAAAAATATCCTCGGCCGCAAAGTGCATCAGATCGGTGACATGTGTGAATCTGACGGATTTTCTTTTAAAAAATATCGGATTTAATCCATTGTTAGCATGCATATTTTTCGGGTTTCTGTACTTTTTAACGAATGAAGTGAATTTGAAATTCTGCAATACGAAAAACGATTACCATTCGTGTTTACAATTTCGATGCTATTTTGTCCTAGAGAGGGAAATACAGAATCTGGAAACTACTTTATGGAGCATTTCCTTCCATTGGTCTTCTTACGATTACCCCACGCATTTTCGCAAACTTTCACTTTCCAAATCCGTCGTGCCAGAGAAAAATATACCCGAGAAGAAGAATGAGATGCCGTCCGACGATTGGCTGTGACCGGGGGACACAAAAGGATTCCGAAATTTGAATAGGGAAATTGTGAAAGATTCCGAATAAGCCAACGGGTCAAATAGCGTAATCCTTCGTGGTGGTGTTGGCAAAGTGATTTATGGGATTGATCTATTTGTTTGGCTACTGTTGGCCAAACTAAATACGTCACAATGATTTCCTGGAACTCTGAAATTCAAAATTGCAGGAAAAATTCAATTCTTGATTCGCCTCCGCAGAATTAGAGTTTTTCGACTAGGTCGAAATTTTGACACTATCAAATAGGTCGCTTCTCACGGCCATAAATGCAAGCTTTCTACGCTGGCTTCCAGAAATGAGATGATTTAATCCTCCTGAATGCATCCTGATTTCCTCATCTCTCTTTCGCTTTCCTCGATTCGCCACTGATCTGATTAGTCGTCGGTCCTTCTAAAAAGATGAAAAGACTTTCTTGAGCTGCAGCAGTTCTAATATCTCCTTTTGTCCCACGTACAATGGGGCACCAGCCAGCGCAGGGACTGATTAGACGAGGGGGATTACTACTGAATGGCGCAGGTAGAAAGCAGTAGCTTCGATGTCGTAAAATGAGAAGGTTGGGAAATTAGATTACGGACGAATAGCCTGGCGAAGAAATTGGTCATGAAAATCTTTTCCCAACAAACTGAAGGAAATGTCAAAAACCGAAAAATTGGAGGGGATTGAAGCAAGGAAAATAAACTTCATTTCTCTTTCTTCGCGCATCAACTCCAGATTTTGGGTAAATGTCAACCCAGTTTCTTTTTGTTTTATGACGGGATTACTGCTTCGGACAGGATTAAATATGTGACGAGTACGCGTGGGTGAATGGCAATAAAACAAAATTATAGTATACGCAAACATTTTGAAGGATAACTTAGGTTTAATCTCTCCTGGCTTATCATAATTAAATAATTTCAAGAAAATCTGATACGCAATTTATTTTGGAAATCCACCCTCAAAATAATATGTGGGTGGCTTCACAAACCATCGCCATCATTCGCTAGTTGTAATCCTTGCACAACCAGCACCAACAAATTTTCAATTTAAAGTCTGTATTGAAGAATCCGTATTTTGTCACCCTAAAATTCAGAAATTTTCAATAACGTTCTTGGTATTCGATGTCTCGGCGACGCCTCATAACTGCCATCATTTTATCCCATGTCTCATTTTACTTCAATCCCTCCAGACAAAAATCCTAACCCTCCCCCCCCCCACTCTCCGCGTAGTCTCCGTACTGCATCTGACATACCAATAACAAAGGAGAAAGCAACTTTGGAACCCCCGCAAAGTTGAGCAGGGCTGAAAGTCTTTACAAAATGCATCCATTCGCCAACCAAGCGAACTTTGTTAAATATCACAATCGCCACCTGTTTTCCATGGGAGACTACGCTTTCACTTTCCCGGAGATAAAAAAACTCGCCAGTTGTGAACGATTCGAAGCCGGATAACCAAACGACAACGAGGATTTGTGACACGTGTCAACATTAAACGGTGTTGGTAAGTTGGTGTCGAATTTTGTGTTTGTTGATGTGTAGGGGAAAACCGTTGTAGATTGGAAATGTATATCGGAAATTTATATATATTTTAAAATAAAGTAAAAGCATGTGGTTAATTCGAATGGAATTTTGTCCAGCTTTAAAAAAGCCTTCAAGTTTCCGCTGCAATTTCGTCGTCCACGTTCTCCATTGTTCGTCGAATTTATTTTCCTGAAGTGCAACTCCAGCATCATAGATTTCACTTACAGCATTCTTGAGAAATTGAGTTATCAAATCTGTAACGCAAACTACACTGGTCTTGTTCCAGTTAAATTAGCAAAGATAAATTTCTTGGTTTCTTTTTGGTGGCTGAAATACAATCTCAATAAATAGCAATATTTTTGTTTCTGTAAATTACAAGTAGGAGTTTCTAGTTAATTAATTTCTCAAAAGCTTGTTTAAATGGACTTGTATGAAACAACGCTTTTGGCCTGTTGTTTTTTAGCCGTCGTTTAGAGATGAGCGGAAGCTTGTATACTGTTTGGAGCTGGTAATTTGAATTTGTTCCAAGAAAGCATCAATCAAGAATGGAACCACAAATTGAAGAATTGCCAACCAATTACTTCCAACATAAGATGCATTTCCGTCTTTTATTTCAGAATTTTCCATGCACCGGCTTCCGGTTACTCATGTCATTTCTAACTAGCGTATAAGCCCGTCTCCCGCCGGGCGATATAGGATTAGACTATCAAAATTTCACCAGTTAATTTTTTTGTGGATATTTATTTTTAAAAAACAATTTGACGCGAACGGAAGTGAAAGCAATTTCGAACGCAAGTTAAAGTGGACAATTAAATGTCACCCACTTGGCTCTGTCATCTCTGCCATCTCTTTCAGCCTAGTCTGCCACTGGTAATGGCAGCGCCACTGGCAGTTTGTCTGGCACCCACCTGGCTCTGTCATCTCTACCAGCCTAGTCTGCCACTGGCAATGGCAGTGCCACTGGCAGGTTGTCTGGCACCCACTTGGTTCTGCCATCTCTTCCAGCCTAGTCTGCCACTGGCAATGGCAGTGCCACTGGCAGTTTGTCTGGCACCAACCTGGCTCTGCC